GCCGCCGCAGCGCGGGGCCGGCTGCCCGTGGGATACAAGGCTGCATTGAGACTCGGATAAATGGGAACAATGGCGCTGTGTCAGGGCCTCCCAGTGCTGCGGTGCTAGCTCGGTTGCAATAACATGAAGTGCCCGAAGGCATGTCAGCATAGCCCAAAGCTGGCAGCCTTAAACAAAACCAGGCTATTGGCTTCACCCTTCCCAAGGCCTGCCCTCACAAACTCGCCCTCCTATTAGATCCACTGGAAGACGAGGTGAAGTTGTTAGGTCTGCAGCAGCCACCACAAGTAACTGTGCCCAAATACAGCCTCAACCTGCAGAACCTGCAATCTTCCTGATTTTAACCACATCCTGCAGTATTCTCCCCAGGCCTGCTTGTTCTCAGTACCCACCAGAAAGCAGCATTCTGAATAGCTGTCAGAAAGGAGAAATCAGAAGCAAGTGTTTTATTATCACCTTTAGCCAAAGGCTGTTTTCAGTTGGATGGAGCACTAAACCAATGATACGCAGTGAGCCCGTCCAATAACGCTACCATAGTTAGATAGATAACACGAGAGAATTATCGTATACATCAATCCTATTGTTGCATGGCGAGAACAATCAGTGTCTCAGAACAGGGGTGTACGTGGAAGTGAACAGTCACAAGACTGTTCGAGGGCTTCCCAAGGATACGCTGCAAGGCTGTACCACAAGTGACCAGTTACTTGGAGATGATTTCATACTAGCCCATTAAAGTGGCCTCGGAGCAAAGATAAAAATGTCTCTAAAACATATGCAGGTCTAATGAAAAAACAACTAGTTGCACTGGCACGTCAGAACCGCGTGTGTGAAACCTTTTACTTTGCTACGTGTATTCTCTCCAGAGATTGCACAGCATTCTCATTCATATTTACAGAAGAAGTGGCCTCCTAAAGCACAAGAGCCAGGGAGTCTTCTAGGAAATACAGGAGGAAAAATAAGACTTCTTTTTTTTTTAACCTTATCTACCCAAACCACAAATACAGAAAATAATTGTTCACAAACTATTATCTAACAGACAAAATACAGAATTTGCTTTATAGCTATAAAAAGCTATAAAAAACACGAAATCAGTATTTTACATATGCAGACCATCTAGCATTCCAACAGATTTAAGTACCAACCATCAAATGAAAGTCCAAGTGAGACATAGGCTTTTTAGTAGCATAACATTAACTCACTGATTCCACTACTTGTTAGGCTGAGAATGCCCATCAAAAGGCTCAAAGTCCTTGAAAGAGGAGGGAAAAAAAAAAAAAAAAAGGTTTTCTAGTTGCTTATCTTCACACATTTCAACTAAATTGCGTATTATTTAGCCTTGCTACATGCATTAAAACTCTCAAATACCAAATTATACAGCCTCTTTAGTGGCTAACTATTCTCACAAAGATTTTTAGTAATACAGAACCTACATACATACAGTTGCTATGAATTTATTACCTCTGTGTTTATAGAATGAAGCTTTTATATACCATCTTTTAAATATTTGAAAGTTTTTAACTTGGCTTTACACATTTCTGTTCTCCTTTATAAAATGCCGCATCATTCAGACCTTTCCTACACAGAAACTGCACCTGTACCATAATAGGCACATTACTGTATGTTTCTGCTGACGTCTGGGGCAGGCATTCCTTGCTTGCCCAAAAGACAGAAAATTAGTATCTTCGGAGATGTGACTCCCAAGCAGAGGAGCTCTAGAGACCAAGTATTCTGCTGCTTCCTCTCATTTTCACACCACTCTTAATTCACCTACAGCAAGGTCACTAACATTCATCATTTCCAAGCAGAACAGCTCTTCTTAAAGCAAATAACCACTGCAAAAAAGCAACGGGCCATGTGCATGAGCCACATCCAGATAAGGTGTGGGAGAAACCTGACCTTCACTTTGAAGAGGCTTTAGATGGGAAATCCGGACGTGTCTCCCATGAAAACAGAAAGGCACCCAGCTGGTGCTGTTAAATAACCACACTTTCCACATTTTCTTTTTCACATTTTTTATTAATCAAACATCACAACTTTCCTTTTGAGTGTTAGACAGAGCCCAGGATGTTTTTGTAGTGAAAATAAGCTTAACTAAGAGATATATTACAGAAATATGAAGTAACTCAGCCCTGTACCGCCTGGCTCTTGTCATGACCGAGTGAGCTGGTGTCACAAAGCCAGGATAGCACAAGCAAAACTGCTCAGAAGTGAAAAATGCCGTCGGTGACGCACCACTGCTCCTGAAGGGACACGCAGATACCCCATGCCAGAGCTCCAGGAGGAAAACGGAGGATTTGTCATTAGACCCGATTGAGAGGGTGTCTATTAAGTACTAAAATATCAAAGGTCTCTCTCCATCACTATGGATCAGAACATATAGAATATTTGAGCTCTAAAACTCTTACAATATACAAACTGAGCGTTTTTCTTCATGCTATATATATATATGTATATAGTGTTGGCACTTAGAGTTGCATAAAAGTCAAAATATAAAGTGCTGCAAGTTTTTAATACTTGCAACACTGCAGAAATGTAGAAGCTTTAAGAGTTAAGTTTACTGGCTTCATTTTGAACAAAACCAAGAGCTATGTACATCCGAAAATAAACTAGATGTGCCAGTTCAATTCCTTAGCATTTTATGAACATCTTCAGTTATACCAAGAAATATTTAGTGCAAAGCACATGCTTAACTTAAATCCTCGATACAAGAGGAACCATAAGCAAATTTGAAAACAAAAGTTGACAAAAGCAGCTCATTTGGTGTTGTCTACATGCTGACAGAAATATAAAATGAGCAAGCATGTAGCTTGTAGCACATGTAGCATTACTTAGCTTTCGGTTTAAGAACTTGAGATGCTTTCTCCAAAACTAACAATACCTATAAGGTTCCATTATTCATTCATAAAAAGGGGGGAAAAAAGTCATAGTGTGTTAAGAACAAAGTCTGCAAAACTTCAAGCTAAATATTTTGGCACTAGCCATGAACAGTGCAATAAGTTTATACTGCAGGCAAATATAGTGCCCAGTGTGCAACAAGGTAGCATTAAAAAAAAATACTGACTAAAAATAATTGCAATTTATGAAACAATATGAATTTTCATTTTTTCCAGTACAAAGTCTATAGTATTTCCTCCTCACTGCATCTACCACCCAAGCTGTCCCGGTTGTCCACAAGGTAACGCTATCTCAGAACCATTTTGTTTTTCCCATGCATATGGCATGCCAAAATACCTGAATTCCCTGCAGCAGATCACAATATACAACGCTCCAGGAGGAACACATACAGTAATGTAACAGAAAGAACCTCAAGAACAATTTAACATTGTAAGGTAGCATTTTAGTGTGCAGTTAGGAACTGAAAAGGGGAGAACGTGTGTAATTTCAGCTCGAAAGTGCAGGGTGCAAGCGCGGGTTGTTAGAGAAGCATCCACAGCACAGTGACTACCGAGGCGACACCGAGCGCGGCTTTGTTAACCCCAGTGATGGGGCTCTTGTTGCACAAGTCTCGTTGGCAGCAAAAGTAGTCGAAATTATCCAGCTGGAAGAATACAGCAATTTCATTCACATTGCACTGAGATGCCTTCCAGCAGGAGAAAGTTCTCAATTTACCTACAAGATAAACAGATTAAGAGAATATTGGAAGTAATGTGGTTTGGGCTATGGAGAAAGAGCCACTGCTTAAACAGTCATATGCTCGCTTTAGCCTCTTTGAAAACTTGCTTAGAAGCTGTCAAACTTGCTTTCACTGGGAAATTTCGTAGTGCAAACTACCAAAAAGCTGTGGTCTTGTCTTCACTGCACTCTCTTTTCAGGGTCTTTTCCACACATAAGAATTCCTCGTTCAAGCGAAGAAGCAGTTCACACTCCAGGCAAGCAACCCCCGGAGACAGGACGGAGTCCTGCCCATGAACACCCCCATCTCTGGGCTCCTGCCAGAGGAACCCCAATTACAGCCAGCCGAGTCATTCCTGCCAGGTTTTGTGCTGAAAGCAAGTCCACTTAGATCTAACTGGCTTCTTTTCCACAAAAAATATATAGGTGAAGACAGAGCTTGAGGAGCAGGAGAATCCTCTCTGCCTTCTCCCTTACTCCCCGAATCACCAGACGTTAGCTCAGTTTGTCCCCCACTCATCCCTACTTTGACGCCTCAAGGACATGATTCTCAATGAGTGCAAGGGCCAACTATTGGATGCATGAAAGCACTTGCTTTGTGCTCATTTCATCAAGGTTTAGGCTCAAGAGAAAACAAAAACAAACAAGACCAACTCCTTAGGATGCTAGTGGCAGAGCTAGCGGCACGATACTGGTCCTGGTCCGGTAGCATTGGGAGCCACAGAGCTTTAGCAAGGATTGTCTTGGGCATCAGGGGAGCCCCATCCCTTACTCGTTCCTGCCACCCACATCTCCACAGCCAAGCCTTTCTAGCACAGGGGGAACCACATGAAAAAGGAGACTCTTTTGGTTTACTCATGACTTCACTGTCAAGGGACCTGCACTAAGACCAACGGCAGGAATTGATGTAATGCAGTGTTCTAAGTTGGCACATCCATTCCATTAAAGCTTGTGCTTATTTCCCTGCCAGGCAGTCTGCAATTTAGGACCGCAAACATCCCTGCAGGATGCCAAGCTGTCACTTCGCTTGGACAGTCAGGGACCTCCAGCTGGATAGCCCCTAATTTCAGAACCTCTTCCTTACAAGACAAAAAACTCGAATCAAGAAGTTATGTTGAGTAAATCCCAATCCAAAGGAAGTTAGTGGAAATTGCTGTGTTTTATGATATAAATTTTAAATAACACATAAATACTCCAAGCCCATAGTGATATAAATAATTTCTAGCTGTGTAACCATAAAATATTTGCCTTCAGCTGAGGTAAATATCTAGTGTCACATTAGTGCCACGTTTATATTAACTTCAAGGTAATCACACTTTTCAAATTCATAAAAGGTTATTTACATTATGCAGTTGTGACCTATTCAATTCTTGTCTCTGTAGAGATGCATTTCTAACGTAATATGTATATTACATAAATGCAATGTGTAGCCAGCTCTTCTTGGTAGAGTGTCTTTTCCAGTGAAACTCCTGTCCACCAGGATAAAAAGGTCAAATGTTACTTAACAACTAGAGAAGTAACTCTATCTGTGCCTCAAATGCCCTTCACAATCATGCTGAAATGACTTCACTATTGGAAAAAAAAAATACCTTTACTAATTTAAGTTCATCGTCTGAGTCTCCATCTGCAAGCTTGAGTTACGAGCTTTATCTTTTTGATGTTTGTTTTCAGATGGGACAAATTAAGGCAAAAATTTTGTTGTTTAAAATCCATGCTGTCTCCTGTTGTTTTCCAGTTACCTTAGGTCTTTCTTTTATCTGGACTTACAGATATTTATGTATATACTTGTACAGGTATAAGCCAGCTATTTAAGTTATCATTATCAGTTTCTCAGAAGTCAAAGTGTATCAATTTGCTCTAACCATGACCTTCAAAAGTATCCACAATCTGCGTTCGAGTGGGGTTAAGAAATGCATATTATGTGCAGATCAGAAGTGCACAGGCGATGTAAACCGATACAGCCAGGCTCGCTGGAGGACGGCAGGACTGCATACATACCAAATTTCATCTGCAGGCAAGTATCTTCAGTAGGCAAGCAAGTACTGTTGGTCTTGCACAACGTAGGGCTGTTCTCACAGTGGTAGCATCTTAGGGCATAACCTAAGTAGACAGTATATTGTCTTTACTGAAGAAAAAGCACGGAAACATTAGCAGCACTAAAAGAGAAAAATAAGCAACACTATCTGCTTCTGACTGCCAGAAAACACATCGTTCATTTAAAAAAGACTCAAGATGAAATTTATCAGTTTCTTGCCAGCACATGTGCCAAGACTGCCAATTCTGAAAGCAAGAGTTTTTAAGTCTGCAGTTGCACCATTTCTAAAAACAGTAATGTTATGCCCCTCCTGAATGTTACATTCCTTTTCTTCCTTTATCTCATGTTAAAAAATCCCTTTTTCAAAACAACAGATGAGACATTTATCAGATATTTCCTACCCTTTATCAGAATCCAATTCTCTTTTGTGCTAGACACACATTTTCCATTTATATATAAGCTTGCAATATTACTACAGCAAAACAAACCACTTTGTTGCTATATTAAGCAGCAGCTCCATTAGGCTGCACCCAGTTCTCTGCGCTAACCAAAGACAATCAGCTACAGAAAGCCTATAAGGTCACTCTCATTCCACAAGGCAGTATTAAATAATAAAGGCCTTTCTTGTTATTTGCCCTGCTCAGACTTCTCCCCGCCCCAGACACCTCTCCCTAGTTGGCCTCAGCAAGGGAACTCCATTTTACTCACCAGAACTACAGAGAGCAGCCAGCACAAGGCAGACAGTTAACAGGATGCAATTCATCTTCATCATGTTTCTTCCCTATTCAGAAAGGATAAACAGATTTTAAATGTTTATTATTAAAAAAAAAAAAGTCTATGTGAAACCAGCAAGATACGTGGTGACAGGAAAAAAGCCTCAAGGTCTGATTCAGCCCTTGGCCAGGAAAGCTGCAGATCTGTGAGCCTCCCGTCCGGCTCTCCCCTCCCTCTGCACCAATCCACAGGTCTGGCTAACTCGGAGAGCCCCTTTCACGAACACCTGCACCCACACGAGGTCCTTTAGGTGCTCGGCTCCAGGCTGCGCTCCGTACTCCTCTCGCCCAGCTTTGTGAGAGCTCTACCCGCGCCACACAAGCCTTGGCCTCTCCTCTCGCCAGATTTCCCCTAACTGCGCCCCCAAAACACACTGAAATGTTGACACATGCAATAGCTCATCAGGCGAGCCCAGTCATGGCTCCATGGCTCAAGTTCTCCATGATTGCTCTAATGCATAGGAAGGATGGGCCTTGAGAGAAGGGAAAAAAAAAAAAAAAAAAGGAGGGAGGCTGGAAGTCCTAAACGACCACAGGAAGGCGGAGGAGCCTCATGCGCAGTGCCTCGGCCCCACAGCGCTCAACAGGACACTCACATCCCGCCTCCTGACCCTGTCTTTCTCTGCATGCACTTAGGGAGCCAGCGCTGCAGACCACGGTCACTTCAGGGCAGAGTTTGCTTCCGCACAGAACACTGCACACTTGAAAATAGCGTTTCATGCTACAGCAGCACTGAAAGCCTTCGCAATCTAAAGTCTGGCCAATTCTCTATTCATATACATATTTAAAAAAAAAAAAAAGAAAGAAAGAAAACGCCCTTGTTTCCCGGTTTTTGTTGCCCATTCCTAATCAGGAAAGCTGGAAAAACTCAATGCGCAAGCCCAGATTTTTCGCTGGAATTAATGACTTGGTGAAAAGTCTCCTGCAGCAGCCAACGCCTCCAGGCTCTTGGCACTGCGGAGCCAAAGGCAGAAGCGCCCTTAGCCCTGTGCCTAACGCGGGGGAAGAGCCGCAGGGACCTCCCTGGCAGCCCCCGCGGCTCGGAGGCGCCCTCGGCACCGCGACGCGGCCAGCTGAGTCGAGAGCGCAATAATAGAAAGCAGACTAATAAATAATAATAATAAAAGCAGCGCTAGGAGACAGGAAAACAAACAAACAATCAAACAAACAGCCTCCAAAGCGGAATTTTCCAAATTACCAACCTGCCGGCCGCCCCGCACCCTGCCCGGCGCCGTGCCAGCCGTTCCGTTCCGCACAGCGAG